TATATCGAAAAATACGGATCGAAGCGGATATCCGACTTTTAAAAAAACAATATTTGTTATTTGCTTCGGTTTTTACGAATACTACATTTTCCTATTTGATTTGCTCCAAAATATTACGGATATTCGGATTTTTCGAATCGAATCAAAACGAATATCGAGTCGAAGCGGATCTAACGAATATTTTGCCTAGGCCTAGTAGTTAGTAATTTTTTTAATTTCAATAGCTTGTCAATTTCCATTTGACAACCAAATGGTAATTATAACAACACTTATTTTGTAAGTACGGTTAAATAACTGTCCATCCATGTTCCTTGAAAGGCGAATCTATTGTTGATCCCCGTAATCTCTAGTACGGGCCCAAATTCTAAAGCAAGAAGGCGATGCGCATGCAGTCTTTGCAAGCCACCCCTTGTATTATTATATTTTGTTAAATAAACCCCAATATTTGTTTTTGTTTTTTTTTGCCTTTTAAAGATCTTTTATTCATCTTTGATCTTTCCTCAATATTTGTTTCTAATACAATTTCCTCCCCTAATTAGTTATAGGGTTGGAACGCATGCAGTACGATGAAACACGAGAAGAATCATTGAGAGAGACCAAACTACAGTAGGTGAGAAGATTGAACTCAGTTCTGTAAATTCGTCCCTCCTTAATCATGAAAATGTAAGACTGAGAGCATATCTTTTGAATATAATATATTTGTTCTATTAAATGTTCCACTGGGCAGTTCAATGGTGAGCCAATTACACCGTTCGATGATCCAATCAAAATACTTAGAAATATCGTGGAAAATATAGAAAAGCAGCCCTTTTTGACGAGACAAAAGAAGAATTATTGAAGCCACTTATAACAAAGTTACTAAATAAATTTTAAAAGAGGATAAGTGCTTGCTTTATTGATTGATATAATGCACGTCGTATAGTTGAACTTTTGCCAAGAGCCTGCTCAGTTCTGAGAGTAGTCGGGGTTGGTCACTATTTTCAGTTTTAGAAGTCGGTGATCGAAAATCTGATGCTAATTAAAACATAGAGGATATATTAAGTGTGTGGTTTATGTGTGCATATAGTTTGTCTATAATAGGAATATGTTACGCATTTGTAAGAAATAAATCCAATTATTTTTACATAAAGTCTTAATTTCTTTTGTCTAACTCGAGTTCTTCCTTGTTTAATGTTATTACGAAACTTTTCTAGTTTGAAAAACCTTTTTCTGTTTTTTTACAGAATGAAAAACAAAATTATCTGTTCAACAGAATATAAATTTTTCACCTTTTTAAATAAGAATTGTTGTCAAAATTTATTTATTTATTTCAAGTTTGCACAAATGCTAAACATAACCTGGAGAAGTCCAAGAATGATGGATATGGAAAAGACAAAGGATGATGGATAAGTCTCCATCTGTTGGGAATCATATATTAGATATATAGAATGTGAAAATATATGACATAAAAAAAAAGAAAAAAAAAAAAGAAAATATATGACATGGAATTAACTTAAAATATCAAAATATATTTAAAACTTCTGTTAAATCTTTCATAATAATTTACTATATATTAATTAAGTTAATGAAATTTGACAATATGAAAAATCAAAGTATATTTATTTCTGAGTTTATTTAAATACATTAATAATTATTACAAATAATTTTTGTCAACTAATGACTACAACTTGTCTCATAAAAGATAACACTTACTATGTCATATCTTGGAGAAGTTTATCCAAGTATAGTAGTTATGATTTAAACACACATTATATTTTTAGAGTATCTAACTTAATTCCTCTATTGTAGGAAATAATTACCTTTTCTTTTTTAACTTTAATTTTCCCACCTCTTATTATATATTTTATTATGTTGTTAGCTAGTTAAATCAAAGACCAAATGGCATGTATGAATATTCCGGGGGAATTGGTGGAAGATATACTCTACCGTGTTCCATCTCCATCTATTTCCCGATTCAAAACCGTTTCCAAGGAATGGAACACACTTCTCAACGATAAGGCGTTCATCAAGAAACACTTGACTCTCATCCGTCCTCAGTTCCTTTTATGGACCAATTCCAAGGTTTATTCGGTAGGTGTGAGTCTTAACGATGATCCAAAAATAGAGCTGCGTGAGTTGCTCTTAGATATACCTGATGTAATTGATCATAGGACTACAAACTTTCTTCCTTGCAATGACTTATTGTTTTGTGCCTCATGGTGGTGGAACAATAAAGCCGCTGTTTGGAACCCGTCATTGAGACAAACTAGATTGATCAAGTCGGGGGAAGAACATTTCAGGTTTGGTGGCATAGGATACGATAATGGTAGACACGGAAAAGGGTACCATATATTTGGACATAGTCATAGTCGGCAAAGTGTTAATGGTAACACCTCTAAGTTTAATAAAAGATTTTCTATCTCCAAGTTTGAAAGCAATGCGTGGAAATGTATTAATGATGTTTCCGATGGAGAGAATTCCATAGGAGGAGATTCATTAGACAATAATGTATCTTTGAATGGAAATTTGTATTGGACTACTTATAGCTATGAGACTGATGAATATCTCATCCGAAGTTTTGATTTTTCCAAAGAGATATTCAAAATCTTTTGCGTTCTACCGTGGAAGAAGGATTCTTCTGATATTCCAATCCTCTCAGTTTTTAGGGGAGATCGACTTTCAGTATTAAATAAATCTAAAGGAACAAATAACATGGAGATTTGGGTGACAAAGAACAAGATTAATGAGGATGTGAAGAATTTGGTGTGGAAGATGTTCATGACTGTTTCAATACCGATTTACAAGGGCTCTAATCCAAGTTACTTCATCAATGATATCTACGAAAAGAGACTCGTCATGTTTTGTAGTGACGAAAATGGAAAGGCTTGCGTTTATATTGCGAAGGGCCATGCAAGGAAAAAGATTCAAATAGGTTTTGATGTTAGTGAGTTTAGTCATTGTTTCTATGATCCCAATTTGTTTCCTATTCCTTCAGAGAGTTCAGATCAATAGACAAACAATAGTTAGAAATTATTATTCTTTCTGTTATATATTGGCTTACTTTTTTTTTTTTGTGGTTTTTGTTATATATTGTCCCTATGTGGCTATGCTCCTAGTTTGATCTCAATTTCGGATCATGAGAAGAACAAAGAGTTGGAAATTTATTTTATTTTTAATTATATTTTGGCTTTGTTTGTGTATTGTTAATTAATATGAGCAATCTAACTTGATTTATGATTTAAGATCTAAGTCCATTACCTCCGGATATAATTTTCAAAGATTTCAAAAATAGCATTGGTGTAAATATATAAAATCTAAAATTTTATTTACTTGTTACTTTTTGTAAGACACATCTCTTGAGTAGTTGCAGCAATACAACACAACAACGATAACTAAGAGGATGTATCTTACATAAATTGACTAGTAAATGAGAAGTCCTTGATGGCCTAGTGGTTTCAATGTGACTTCTCACACACGACTGCCAGAGGTCACGAGTTCGACTCTCTGTCGGCGGGGTGGAACTGAAACCTCTCCAAATAAAATCCTGTTGTAGATGGCCCAAGGGTTTCTATGACGCATATAGGATTTTCCTGGATATGGGGCCTTTCGGGGTGGGGTCAGTCACTATAAAAAGTTTACCCTAACCGTTTTTTGAGAAGTCCTTGATGGCCTAGTGGTTTCAATGGGCTTTCTCACACACGACTGCCAGAGGTCGCGAGTTCGACTCTCTGTCGGCGGGGTGGAACTGAAACCTCTCCAAATAAATCCTGTTGTAGATGGCCCACGGGTTTCTATGACGCATTAAAGGATTTTCCTGGATATGGGGCCTTTCGGGGTGGGGTCAGTCACTATAAAAAGTTTACCCGTAACAGTTTTTAACCAGACGGTCGTGGTCTGGTGGTAAAGGGCTCACAGCTGTGAGTACCGCCACCAGGGTTCGATTCCTGGCCACTGCGTATTCACATTGGTGCTCCGCAGGCCTCCAGGAGCCAACACGTGGAGAGCCGTTTGGCCGCCCACGTGGCTAGTCTGTGCGAACCGATAGCTAACACGTGGAACCCTGCTCTGTCGGCTAGTGACAGGAAACCTGGGTTATCAAAAAAAAAAAAAAAAAAAATTGACTAGTAAAGAATTGTTTAAGCCCGAGTTAGAGTTTTAATGAGACTAACCGTTCCATGGCCACGCGGTGAGATCTAATTCGGTCTTGATGACATAGTCAAAGCAAGTCAACGAAATCGTGTCTTCAGGGTTTGACCATGAGTCCATGACGAAAGAAGAGGAAAGAGGCACGTGCCGAGTATATTGGACTGGGCCCAAATTACTCACATAAAATGGGCCTACATAATCCCAGGCAATACCATATACCACAATTTCCCTTATCTTTTTTTTTTGTAATTTTTTTCTTGATATTTTTTTTTTTTTTTTTTTTTTTTTTTTTTTTTTTTTTTGGAAATTTCACCTTACATCTTTAATATATTAACTGACAAAACAATTAAAGATTATATCATTCAACATATTTTGATAATTACTATTTAACATGTTGACTAATATAATCGTTTAATATACTATTTAAGTTGTGATATTCATAAGCATCATCAAGTGGAAACTTATCCATTCAAATTTTTGTGTATCAACATGTAGTCACTCCATATGTATTGTGTTGTTTTAGCTAAATAATCTGAAAAATCTGAACCCAATGTAGGTTGGCAAAGAAATGTTAAAGTTCTTGCATTCTCTCTTAAGTTTTCACCCTTTTATAGTTAATCTACTTTATGCAATTTTTTTCCACTGTAGGAAGAACTCACACGTATTTCTAACTAACCTCTTTAAAATATATATACTTTTTACATTGTATAGTTTGGAGAGAAATCATATTTTCCATTATAGATCTGAGATCATCTTATTGTCTTTGTCATCTTCTCTCCTTTCTTCTTTCTCTATAACCTCTTTTTCCATTTTTGGTTTTCGGCCACATTTTTCAACGAAATATTGTCAAACGTCGGGTTAGGTACATACATATGTCATATGGTAGAAGGAATATTTTCCTTTCTTTATAAACCCATTAAACTTATTGCTTACTCCTTCTACAAATAGACATCTTCGAAATTCAATCCTTGCAATTTAATTTCCCTTTAAATTTGACTAAGTAAAACATCTAATTAACTCTTAAAATTTTCAGATATTTGTAAGAGAATAACAACCTAATGTTTCTTTTCCCTTTTGTCATTAGCACTGAGTTGTAATGCAAATTTCGTTATCAATTATTTTTAACCAATTTTCAAATGTCAAAGATTCTTTCTGTGCAAATGGTAAAGCTTCGAAATTTCTCCCACTTAGTCATTACTCAGCCATTCCAAAAATAGAACTATATCTATACTTCCAAACGCAGCGTAAATGTTCTTTTTTCAAAAGTCACACGACTTAAAGCATTTAGAGACGCTGAGAGAAACTAACAATGAATTGACGGTGGATGAAATTCTTGAACTTTAATTTATTTACGGTTAATTTTTAATATTTTTTTTATTAATTATATGATAAAACAAGCAGAAGAGTTTAATAACCATAAAAGATAAATAAGCTTGCTGGATGTAACAGCTAGCGACACACCATATGAAACCCTAACAATAGACTGCACACATCGATTATAGAGAAACCCTGACAACACCGACCATGCATGGTCCAAACAGATTTTTATTATTCTAGTTTAAATACGACATAATTAAACAGCATCGTACGGTATTCTTCTTGATTAACCTTGGCGGTGTTGTTTCCTAGGAACGGTGACCCAGAGCACGCCACTATCAACCTTAAGTTCAGCATTCTTCGGATCGTAAACAGTTGGGAACTTGACGAAGCCGGAGTATGTGCGTAAGGGGTTGTTGTTCTCGTCTACTTCTTCTGTTCGAAACCCTACGTTGGTTTTCTCCAATGGGTGAACACTGGAAAATCTTGAACAACCCGGAACATCTACCCTTGCAATGCACGAATCCTCATCAAAAAAATACCGGACTGGTCCTTTACCTCCACCGTATTCTTTTATCTCCACTTTGAAGTTTCCTGTTGTTGTGAAACAAAACGAAGAACAAAAATTAATGAAACAAAGATTGGTTACGGATTAAAAGAGAAAGGAGATAAGCAACATTTTGATAACAAAAAATGTACTATCACCGGCGGCGGAGGTAGATTCTCTGGAGGAGGATGCACTCATTCTCGAATTTAGATGCCTTTGGAATGTTTTGAGTTTAAGAGTGAGTTGATTGAATGATGCTAATGGCGATGATCTAGTTGCTATTTATAGCCGGAAGAAGACCAATGACTAGTTGGGCTCAAAAAGGTATGGGCTAAATTATAGTGGGCCAAGTCGATAGGTCCAATGTGTCGATCAACCTAAAACTAACTAATGGACGGTTTCAAAATCTTAATAACGTTGATGACGAACGTCTCACTTATCCTCCTAATTCTTTTATAATGTTACCAAATCCAATGACTAGTTTACACGCGGTCAATCAGATTCTTATGATTTTTGTTTGTTTTTGCACCATCTTTTATATAGTATAGATTTGGATGTATTAAGTGAAAAATCTTCGTTTCACTTGAGGTGGAGTATTCGGGATACCGTTGTTTTGTAGATGGATCATGGAAAGAAAGTGATAAGTTCTCCGGTACATGCTGGTTCTGTACATCGTCAAATGGAGAGCCGCCAACCATAGGAGCTGCGAACCTCCGTAGAAGTCTATCTCAACTACATGCCGAATTCGAGGCCCTTCTCTGGGCGATGAAGTGTATGATTGGTGCAGATAATCAAGAGGTAGCGTTCTTTACAGACTGTTCAGACCTGGTGAAGATGATGTCTTCTCCAACCGAATGGCCGGCGTTTTCAGTGTATTTGGAGGAATTACAGAGCGACAAGGAGGAGTTTTCATCTTTTTCTTTATCTTTAATTTCTCGTAGGGCTAATGTTAAGACGGATAATCTGGCACGAAAAGTTCGTACAGAACCGCTTCATATCACTTATGTAAATAACATTTCTCAGGAATGGCTCTTTTGAGCTTTAATTAATTTCGGATGACAAAAAAAAAAAAGTAAATTAAAAGTATTTAACTATATGACATGGAGCTAAATAATATACACTAAAATATATTCAAAAATTATGCTAGATTTTTGTTTCTTAATTTCTTTAAAACTTAACCTTATATATATAATTAGATATATTATGTACAATATAGTTAGATATATTATATATATATGTGAAAACATTAAGGTAGATTATATCAATTTTACATTAATTGCTACAACTATTGTATAAAGATGTAAGACGTATTATATATGTCATATATGGAGAAGGTAATCTAAGTTTTAAGCTCATATTATGATTTTAGATTATGTTATTTAATTCCTTTTTTAGGGGAAAAAAACTCCTTTTTCTTGTCCTTTTTTCTCATTTAACTTTTATTTATATTATATATTGCATTATGTTGTTATCTTCATGGTTACACCAAAGACCAAATGATGCATGTAATCCTTCCGTGGGAATTGGTAGAAGAGATACTCTATCGTGTTCCGCCTCTATCTTTAATCCGATTCAAAATCGTTTGCAAACAATGGAACACACTTTTCAAAAGCAAATCGTTCGTCAACAACCACTTGGTTCGTGTCCGTCCTCAATTCCTCTTATGGACCGATTCCAAGATGTATTCGGTAAGCGTCAATCTCAACAATGATCCAAAGATAGATATGCGTGAGTTACCATTAGATATTTCTTATTTGAACAATTGTACGCGTACCAGCTTTACTCCTTGTGATGGCTTATTGTTTTGTGACTCGTGGTCATGGGAAAATAAAGCTGCGGTTTGGAACCCGTGGTTGAGACAAACTAAATGGATAAAGTTTGTCTGAGGACAAACATTTCTTGTTTCGTGGCATAGGATACGATAGTGGTAGACCTGAAAAAGGTCACAAGATTTTTGGGTCAGGTACTTGTAAGCGAGAACTCAGTAACGATACATTCGGGCCCAATACAATGCCAGTATACCGAAGAGTTGATATCTACAAGTTAGAAACTAATGTGTGGAAGAGTATTAATACCTTTTCTAAAGCAGTAGAGATCCGCACATGTAGTGATGTGTCTTTGAATGGAAATTTGTATTGGGTTCTTACCAATCACGATACAGATGAGTATTTTATCGAAAGTTTCGATTTTTCGAAAGAGATATATAAATTTTTTTGCGCTCTACCGTGGGATTATAAATCTTTTGCTTTTCCAGTCCTCTCAACTTTCAGGAAAAATCGACTTTCAGTGTTAAAAAGAATGACCGCAACAAATAATACTGAGATTTGGGTGACAAAAGACAAGATTAATGACGATGGGGAGCATGTAGCGTGGATAAAGTTCATGACAGTTTCAGTACCTATTTCTAGTTACTCTCGTCCAAGTTACTTCATCGATAATGTCTACCAAAAGAGCCTTATCATGTGTTGTGAGGATGAAAATAGCAAGCTTTGCATTTATATTGTGAGGGGTAATGCGCTGACGAAGACTCAAATTATAGGTGTTGATGCTAAACATTTTATTAATTATTGTTCCTATGTTCCCAGTTTGATCCCAGTTCCTTGAGAGAGTTCAGATTCAAGAACTAGTATTTTAATATTTATTATTTTGGCTTTCTTGTTTTTTTTACCAGTTATATAAATTGATTTAAAAGTTTGTTCATTCAATAACTGTTTGGTTAAAGTAATAATATATTTCAATTAAAAAATATGTAAAGAGTCATATTATCTTTAAACCAAAAAGATAAAATATGAGTAGACATAAATAAAGAACAGATGTTTACTTAAAATAAACATGTAATATAGCGTGTCGTTAGATCAAAGTCTAAGCAATGTACGTATAGGTGATAATGTCTTACAAGTTACTTGTATGTGACAATTGCACTTCCCAATTTTCAGATTTTAACTTTCCCTTGTCACATTTCAATCATCTTCTCGAATGGATAAACTAAGAAGAACAATCTTGGTTCGATTTCAATTTGGCGAATTCGCCGTACACTTCTTCGATGAATTGATCATCGTCCCATTGATCGCGATAACTGTCGCCACCAAAGAAAATTTTCTTGATGGCAACATTGTATAATCGCTCTCTCCAACGTTCTATGTACGTGCAACGACACTGTTTTGCGATCCAGTTGAAGTAATCGCTTTGAGAGATCACAACTGCATCCTCCGGTTTAAACGTCCCGAGCATTGGATTCCCTCGAGGATCGGTTAGAAAATGTGTATATCTCTTAGGAATCCCCAAATCTTCAAGCTTCGTGTAGAAAGCTATAGCCTCTTCCATCATCTTATCCTCTGTGGGAAGCTTAACCCGACCCGACAAAACCGAAGCAACCCACTTGCTCTGTATTTCAAACATAAAGAACTGAAGCCCCTGGATTATAAGAACAAGGATCAAACCAAGTAACGAGCACAAAAGAAAATCGAAGTCCTTATTTGAGTATTAGACAATATACCATCATGTAATAATAATGTTACCCTTTAAGTAGTTTTGCATTATGAACAAACACTTGATCCTAAGAGATTCTATAGCTAACAAAAGGTTTTCAATATTATCCTAATATTCCTCTCTTAGAACTTTCATAACTTTGCACACAAAAAAAAGAAAGAACTTTCATAACTACCCTGCCATTTAATACTAACCATGAAAGGTATTCCAGGATTATCCAAACATTCAAAATCTCTTAAACTACCATTTCTATCTAACATGTAGGAATACTAACCATGAAAGGTAAACCAATAAAGGAGATCCCAGGCGCAAATGCGGGTGGGAAAACATGCTTGTAGAGCGGTCCAACACGGTTATCTTCTACAGTAACGTAACCGTTGTTTTTAAGAAACGGGAAATGATACTTGTAACCGGTGCAATGAACTATAGCATCAGCAAAAACCACTTTCCCGTTTCGGAATACCACGGAACCATCCTCGCGGGCGCGGTATATCTACAACATATCAAAGGGAAATTTAAGAAATCAAATGATCACATATATATTCACATTCTCAGTTGTCTTTTTTGTTTTTTTCATTGTTCTACCGTAGGGTGAATCCGTAGGTTGTCGTAACAGCCGTATGAATCGGATGCAACCGCTTTAGACGAGATATGAACTTCTTTTGCAATGGTTGCTATGTCTTTACTAATGTCGTTTCCACTGGCTTGACTTCCTATAACTATCACCACCTACAAAACATGTCAAACAACAATCAATGTAGAGATCTTAAGCAAATCTATAAAGAGCTTAAATTATGAGGAATATAAAAGATTTTGCAAAAGACCTGATCTTTGAATAAATCTGGAATCCGATAATTGTGGCTATGGATCTGCTTTCCTGGCCATGACTCTATCCCTAAACGACTAAAAACGAAATAATTAAGAAACTAATTAACCATTGATTACTAACTAATCACACTTTTAAGTAACCAAAAAAGTTACTTACCAGGAATGTGAGCAAGACGAGGCTCAGTGAAGTGACCATTACAAACTACGACAGCGTCAAAGATTTCTTCGCCGGAGACACCACTTGAGCTTTTAAATTGAACACTCCAATTACGGTTATTCTCCGGCGTCGGCTCCACACACAAAACCTCTGTATCGAATCGGATCATTTCTTCGATCTTGAACTCTTTGGCGAAATCTTGAAGGTACATCAAGACTTCCCTATGATCCGGGTACCGTCTCGGGTCGCCCTCACCGGATCGTGTTACGAATGGAAAGTCACTGTAACCCATACACTCTCGTGGGAGATTTGTGCGGAGGGATTGGTAGACGCTCGAGTGTACGATGGTTCGATCCGGGTCAACGCTAAGTGAGTCTGGTTCGACTCTATCAGTGTAAACCCAGAGTCCACCAACATGTTTCTCACGCTCGAAACCGATGACGGTGTGACCTTCACGACGAAGCTCTCGAACCGCCACGAGCCCGGCGGCTCCGAGTCCGATCACGGCCACGTGACGAGCACGTGAGGTGATTAGGCTGGTCATAGTGTCAAGTCAATTAATGTCAAACTATTTGGACACTACCAGTTTCCTTAAAAACGTTGTGCATATATATACTAACAGACCCTATATTATGGAATCTTTATAAATTCCACCCCACAATAATGTTTAATAAATATACGAACCCACAAATTTCCAAAGACACAAAATCTTTTCTCTTTTAAGTTTTCCTAGCCATATATCAGAAAAATGTGTTTTCTTTTGTGTAACCAGAATTTGTTTATCTTGGTAGTTTGTTCTTATAACATTTTGATGAAAACTTCCGGAAACTGAAAATTTCTGAAGAGCTTTTAAAAGTCATTAATTAAGGGAAAAAAAAAAAAAGGAGATTGAGACAGAGAGACGTGGGTGCAGACAGAAGAGAAGGAAAGGTGTCGTGCCATCAACTAAGTTTCTATAAATAGATTGAAGAGACAAAAAGGATTAATAACCAATCAAAAATCCCGTTATTGTAGACAAGAAAAGGGATTATATAACAAGAAGGCAATAAGAAAAAAGCAACCAAGAACACGAAGAAAGAGAAATTCAAGGTACGTATACATTGTCACCTTTCGTTTCATCTAATATCTCTTCCAATTGCTTTCCATGGTTTTGTTATGTAAAAATATTTCCTGTGGTTGTTAGTTTATTGGATTAGATACAAATTGGGGATTGTAATATGACGATCACGTGAGGATTATGATATTTCTTCATCTACGATTCGTGTTTTCTTCGGTTTTTGATTCGTTGAGAATGTTTGTGTATGCATTAGGTAGGGGCAGAGAAAAGATCTTAAGAGAATGGTGAACATTAGAGTACAAAAAGGTCCGGAATCTCCGAGGACGATGGAGGTGGGAGAAATAGACACAAGAGCACCATTCCAATCGGTGAAAGCTGCGGTGAGCTTGTTCGGAGAAGTTGCAGTCTCTAGGCAAAGAAGTACTCCAAGGCGATCACGACTTTCCTCTGAGGTAAGTAATCCAAGAACAACAACGTGGATCATTAAAGTTTGATCAAGAACTGGTTCTATCATGTTTTAATACATGTCTCTAGAGATATATTTGTCTAGGTAACGGATTGTAATGTATACAAAGCTAAAACCTTTCCTTTGTTATGTTTCAGAGCGTTTGCGACAAAGAAACACAGCTAATGCTGGTGAACAAGGAATTCATGAAGATCAAGCAAAAGCTTGCCAACGCTGAGAGCACAAGATCTCGTGCTCTTGACGATCTCTCAAAGGCAAAGAAGACAATGGAGGATCTTAGCAACAAACTTGAGACTGTCAACAAGTCCAAGCAATCCGCTATTGACACCAAAGAAACTGTCCAACAGCGCGAAGAACAGCTTGAGCATGATAAGTGCCATGGCTCTCCTCCTCACCACCATGAACTTGACGTCGCTAGAGAACAATATATCTCTACCACCGTTGAACTCGATGCTGCGAAACAACAGCTCAACAAAATTAGACAGAGCTTTGATTCCGCTATGGATTTCAAAGCCACGGCCTACAACCAGGCTGCAGAAGCCCAACGTGCACTCCAAGTCAACTCCGCGAAAGTTAACGAGCTTTCCAAGGAGATATCGGATATGAAAGACGCGATTCATCAGCTCAAGCTAGCGGCTGCTCAGAATCTGCAGGAGCACGCCAATATTGTGAAGGAAAAAGACGATTTACGAGAGTGTTACAGAACTGCTGTTGAGGAGGCAGAGAAGAAACTGCTAGTGTTGAGGAAAGAATATGAGCCTGAGCTCTCAAGAACTCTTGAAGCTAAGCTGATAGAGACAACTTCGGAGATTGAGGTTTTACGGGAAGAGATGAAGAAAGCTCATGAATCGGAGATGAACACGGTTAAAATCATTACAAACGAGCTTAATGAAGCAACGATGAGGCTACAGGAGGCTGCTGATGACGAATGCTCTCTCCGTAGCTTGGTGAATTCTCTCAGGATGGAACTAGAAGACTTGAGAAGAGAACGCGAAGAGCTGCAGCAGAAAGAAGCAGAAAGATTAGAGATTGAGGAAACAAAAAAGTTGGAAGCTCTCAAGGAAGAGAGCTTGAAACTGGAGCAAATGAAAACAGAAGCTATGGAAGCAAGAAAGGAAGCTGAAAATATGAATAGGAAGATAGAGAGTCTGAAGAAAGAAACTGAGGCCGCAATGATAGCTGCAGAGGAAGCTGAAAAGAGACTAGAGCTTGTTATAAGAGAAGTTGAAGAGGCGAAATCTGCTGAAGAGAAAGTCCGCGAAGAGATGAAAATGATATCTCAGAAGCAAGAGAGTAAGAAACATGATGATGAATCATCTGGTTCAAAGATAAAAATCACAATTCAGGAGTTTGAATCTTTGAAACGTGGAGCAGGGGAAACAGAGACTGCAATAGAAGAGAAGTTGGCAGCTATAGCAGCTGAGCTAGAAGAGATCAACAGAAGAAAAGCCGAAGCGGATAATATGTTGGGAGCGAACCTGAAAGCGATAGAGGAGATGAAGCAAGCAACGGAATTGGCTCAGAAGTCAGCAGAATCTGCAGAAGCTGCAAAGAGAATGGTGGAAAGTGAGTTGCAGAGATGGCGTCAACAAGAAAATGTACAACATGCTTAATGGTGATTTCGTCTGTATAAAACCTTTTTTTTTTCCAACATTCAAAGATAAAAAAAGACAATGAAAATGTTTAAGAATCAAATCTCAGATACCAAGTGTTTATCAACCTATATGGCTTTTATTTTACACAACAACAAAAGAACAACACACAGACAGGTCAACCATTTGTCCAAGGAATCTTCATCATCTTCAGGATTCCAATAACTGAGAAGGAAGACTACTAATCAACTTCTGTCTCAAGAAATCCTCATAAGCCTCAACAATGAGATGATCATCGTCCCACTTATCACGGAAAGTGTCTGATTGTGTAACAAGTCTGTAATATCCGCCATCTATTTCCTGATACCGCCATTGTTCACCGGGTGGTGCGCCAATTTGCTCAGCTATCCAGTTGAGGTATTCAACCTGACCGCCACCAAGTCGATGTGTGTATCTCTTGGGTTGCCCGTAGGACTCACGCTTTGCATAGTAGGCGGTCACGTCTTCCATCATTTTGTCTTCTGAAGGAAGTGTGACCCGACCGGACAAAGCTGCAGCCACCCACTTGCTTTGAAGCTCAAACATAAAGAATTGCAGCGTCTAATTTAAGATATAAATATCTGATTAGACGATGAAAACTCCGAAAAACCCAACGAAAGTAAGATTGAATGAGAAACTTAACCATCCAGGGTAAACCGATGAAGGAAAGCCCGGGTGCAAGCGCAGGCGGAAACACGTGTTTGTAAAGCGGTCCAACACAGTTATCCTCGACAGTAATATACCCATTTGTGTTGAGAAATGGGAAGTGGTATTTGTAACCAGTGCAATGCACAATGGTATCAGCTTGTACAACCTTACCATTCTGAAAAACAATCGACCCATCTTTGTGTACGCTATCTATCTGCAAAAATTGAATCAGTGACCATCTAGTATGACCAAAATATCTCTTTTTGATCCTTGTTTATTTACCATAGAGTGAAGCCATAGATTGTTAGACCCAGTAAGTTTTGAGTATGTCGTAGATGGATTCGATCTAGACGCAATATGGACTTCTTTCGCCACTCCCGTTATGTCCCTGCTTATATCAGCTCCACTCGCAAAATTTCCTATCACTACCACCACCTTTCATAGATTTTCCAGACCAACAATGTAAGATAGCTGATTAGATTTCAAACACAACACCAACATACTTGAACTAATACCCAATATTCAGACTAACCATCCAATACCCTACCTAAACACCAATCCCTTACGGAAACTATCAACAGAGTAACTACTAATACAAAATGAGAACTAGAGAAACAAAAGCTTTCCTCATGTGTATAGAATGAAAATGAAAAAGCACTTTTTCATAGTTGGCTAATAAGAAAAAGCATCTTTCTGTTTTCGTCGTTGAAAACGCATAAAGGGTATGGACAAAAGATAAAGATTAAAAAACTAAAATTAAGTAAAGGGTTCATATATTCTGCAAGAACTTACCTGGTCTTTGAATTGATCAGGAACACGGTAATTGTGGCTATGAATCTGCTTCCCTGGCCATGAATCTATACCTAAAATAACAAATTTCTCATCAATCAAAAACATAAATCACTTCAAAATCATCGAATCTAAATTATAAAAAGACAACCCAAATTTTAGCATTGGGTTTAAGAAATTGAAGTACCAGGAACATGAGCAACTCTAGGTTCTGTGTAATGTCCATTACAAACAACAACAGCATCAAAGATCTCATCTTTAGAGATCCCATCTGAATTTTTGGATTGAACCTTCCATTTTTGACCTTCAGGCTCAACAAGAACTACTTCTGTCTTAAATCGAACCATCTCCACAAGTTTAAATTCTCTAGCGAAGTCTTCGAGGTAAGCAAGAACTTCTCTGTGACTAGGGTACCTTCTCTGGTCTCTTGATTCGTCATCTTCAGGTCGAGGCACGAAGGGGAAGTCTCTGTAACCCATGCACTCTCGTGGGAGATTGGTTCGGAGAGAATCGTAGACACTTGAGTGGACGATGGTTCGGTTTGGATCGAGACTAAGTGGGTCTGGTTCGCTGTTAGGTGTGTATACCCAGAGACCTCCAACCTTTGAGTCACGTTCGAAAACGACGACGGAGTGATTCTCACGGCGTAGCTCTCGTGCAGCTACGAGTCCGGCGGCTCCGGCTCCGATCACTGCCACGTGGAGTGAGTTGACTCGTGTTCGTGCCGGTGCCATTTTTTGTGTGATGCTCTGTTCTCCAAATTGGGTTTATTATATAGTAGAACTATAGAAGCGTCTTTGGTTCGGATTAACCGGTTCGGTCTAAAAACTAAACCAAATTTTTGTCTTAATTAAGAAATGGAATTAGAACCCAACTGAACGAATCGGTTGGCAATTTAATGACATTAACGTGTTGCAACAATTATGCAGTAATTGACTAAATCGAGATCTTATTTAAGTGTTCATATATTCTCTTTTTGATTAAAATTTATTTTGTAAATAAAATAGTGGTAATATATTCTATAAATACAAAAAAAGATATTGAACAGTCAAACTTTGCTAATCACCTTTCCGATTGGAACCAACCGAAGAAAAAACTTTTAAACCTTTCAGATTAATCACCTAACAACCGCATAAAAAACTTTCGATTTTGTGGATTACCAAAAAGTTTTTGTAACCTTTATTCATAACACCAACATCGAAATTTTAACTCTTGTCTCAAAGTGCATTTAAAGTGGGTTTATTATGTAGAGCAACAAACTTTGGTCGGTTTGATTTTAGCAAAATCCCGGTAGGCTTCTTCGATAAGATCATCATCATCCCATTCGTCACGAAAAGTTTCATCATCTTTTTTTATGGCTATATTGTATTGTTCCTCTCTCCAACGTTCGATGGACGGGCTACCACACTGTTCCGCAATCCAGTTGAAATACTCAGTTTGCGAGATCAAAACTGCTTCATGTGGCTTAAGCTTTTCGAACATCGGAGTCCATTGAGGATTAGTTAGAAAATGCGTAAATCTCTTGGGAATACCCAAAGATTTAAGCTTTGCATAGAAAGCTATGATATCTTCCATCATTTTGTCCTCCGACGGAAGCTTAACACGACCCGATAAAACCGAAGCGACCCATTTGCTTTGGATTTCAAACATAAAGAATTGCAACGCCTGGATTAAGAACAAAGTTCGAACCAAGTAATGAGTCCAATGAGTAATCAGAGTCTATTATCATGAAATTTAAACGAATACGTACAAGATCAATTTGAATCAAAAAAATAAAACCATCATAATCAGTTGTATAGATATATAAGATTTACTAACCATTGAAGGTAAACCGATAAAGGAGAGGCCAGGGGCAAGCGCTGGCGGAAAGACATGCTTGTATAATGGTCCAACACGGTTATCTTCAACGGTCACATAACCATTAGTTTCAAGAAATGGGAAGCAATACTTGTAGCCGGTGCAATGTACTATGGCATCCGCAAATACCACTTTCCCGTCTTGGAAAACAACCGAACCATCCGCATACACGCGGTCAATCTATAACATATCAGGGTGGAGGAAATCAAGTAATCATAAATCAAAATTAAATTATATTTTTATTAATTTTCTCTGTTTTTTTATTAATTTCTCTGTTTTTGGTTTTCATTATTTTTACTTACCGTCGGATGAATATGTAGATTGCTATAAATGGAACTTTCCTTTTCGTATGCATCAGATTTAGCTGCAATATGGACTTCTTTTGCCAAGGTTGCTATGTCCCTGCTAATATCACTTCCACTGGATTGGTTTCCTATCACTATCACCACCTACACATCTCAAACAACGACATTGTTGATCTCAACCTAATCTATAACGAAACATTTAAGAAACTGAAAAGACTAAATAGTCAAATTGATTTGTGGGCTTTTGTAAATACTTGATCTTTGAATGGATCTGGAACACGATAATTGTGGCTATGGATTTGCTTTCCTGGCCATGACAAGAGAAATTACAAAATATGCGCCTAAACATTCACACATTGGGATTTCAAAATGAGTAATTAACTACGATTGATGAATAGTGAATTAGCTAGTGGAATAAGACTTTTTCTTATAGTTAAAATAATTAACATGTAAAATATGTCAACCAAAGCATATTGTTCAACTTACAAAGCATAATCGTTTACACTAATCTTTTTGAAAATTAACAATATCTTTTACAACTTAGAATTGAGGAAATATAACATGTTATTCTTGAATTATATATCTCAAGAAGATGAATAGAATAGATGATTATGCACGATTTTGCATTTAACAACATTCTATTTGGTGTTCTTTTTGATATTTAAAACTCATTTGGACTTCTAACTGCAAACTAATTACGCTTGAAATTACTTACCAGGAATATGGGCAAGACGAGGCTCAGTGAAGTGACCATTGCAAACTACGACTGCATCGAAGATATCTTCGCCGGAGACACCATTTGAGCTCCTAAATTGAACTCTCCATTCACGACTGTTCTCCGCCGCCGGCTCCACACGCAAAACCTCTGTCTCGAATCGGATCATCTCGTTAATATCAAACTCTTTGGCGAAGTCCTGCAGATACCTCATGACTTCCCTCTGATCCGGGTACCGTCTCGGGTCCCTGGTCTCGTCGTCGGGTTGGGTCACAAACGGGAAGTCACTGTAACCCATACACTCTCGTGGGAGGTTGGTGCGGAGGGATTGGTAGATGCTCGAGTGGACGATGGTTCGATCCGGGTCGATGTTCAGTGAGTCTGGCTCGACATTTGGAGTGTAAACCCAAAGTCCTCCTACTTGTTTCTGACGCTCAAAGGCGGTGACGGTGTGCCCTTCACGACGAAGCTCTCGAGCCGCCACAAGCCCGGCAGCTCCGGCTCCGATCACGGCCACGTTACGTGAGCTGATTGAGTTAGGCGGTGGTGTCATTGTATCAGTCAAAGTATTTGTTTCGTGAAGAGTGTGTTACGATCCTTATACATATAAGTAAATGGTCTTGAAATTGGACCGTTAACTTTAACAAAAAAAAAAAAATTGGACCGTTAATTAGAGTATTTCCAAATTTCACTACGTATGGGGATTACAAGTTCGATAGACGATAGTGCAACCTCTTTCTCGCACGTGTAAAAGTCATACACGTGTTCATGACCGTATACTTTCTCAAGTTTTTCTCAGACGATAAGAAAATTTAATATTACCAAAAAACGTAAAATTGTATCACTATTTAAAATTAAATAAACATATACTTCCTCCGTTTCGTTTTAGTTGTCGTTTAAGGTTTTTTCACACAAATTAAGAAAAACATTAAATTTTCTGTTTTATCTTTTATTAATATATTTTATAAAAAATTTATTGACCAAAATATTAAAACAGTAGAGATAAAACTAGAATTTTCACCAAACATTTGCATTAAAAACCTAAAACGATAACTATTATAAAACAAAATTTTAACTATAAAACGACAAGTAAAACGAAACAGAAGAAGTATCGTATAAATTTCATTTGTGAAAGTAATTCACTGCTCTATTTATATATGATATATCCATTAAAAAAAAGGAGGGTTATTAAAGAGAAAACAAAATGTAGAAAACCAAAAAAAGTACAACTTTTTACTTTGAGAAAAAAAAAATCCGAAAACCAAGACAGTAAAGAAAAATTCTATTCCCGTACACCGAACGCTTAAAAATGATAGAATCGAGAAAGGACCCATCTCATAACTTATATAGTAACAAGTATAGTACACTAGTATTGTTTAAAAAATTATAGTAGTAGAAATTAAAAGGGATTATTGTTTAAAATGCCCTTTTTTGGGAAAAACTTATGAAAATGCTCTTTTTTGAATAGTTTACGGATTTTGCCCTTTTTTAACACTTAAAAATGTACGTATTTAGGATTTTTTTTTCCAAAAATACGTACTTTATACCAAATACTAAACCCTAAGAACAAATGGAACCGACTAAACCCAAACATAACGAGTGAAACGCATGTTAAATCATATTTTTGGAGCATGAAAAAGGACAAAATGCATAAATTATTCAGAAAAGGACAAAATCCACAAATACCCTTATGAAAAAGGACAAAATCCGTAATTTATTCAAATTAAAATGGTTTAATTTAGATCGTACGAGAGAGGTAATAACATAAGGAAGATAACAATAAATATATGCGGGGGAATGCTGCAATTAAGAGAAAAAGATGGAAAAAGCTGGAAACTGGGCTACAAAGCCTTCTACTGTCCCAACACTTATGTTTGGTCCCTCTTTTTTCTCCAACCCACACAGATCTGACCATATAATCTCCCACTACACGACACAGCTGCGGCTGCCTACAACAAATACTCTTTTTTTTTTTTCTTTTTTTTTTTATTCAATTTATTAATTTTCTATTTAAAGAAGAAAAAAAAAACACTACTCCCTCTATTTCACAAAAATTGTCATATTTTTCACACAAATTAAGAAAAATAAACAAATTTCGTTTTTACCTCTTATTAATACACTAAATAATATTCTCTCTAATTAATAAGTTAAAATAATGAGGATAAAAAAGAGAATTAGTCTAAAACTGCATTGAAAACACAAAATGACATTTTTGTAAAACGAGATTAAAACCTTAAAATGACACATTTTATAAAACGGAAGGAGTATTATATTATGGTCACCAATTAAATGACTAAACAACCCAAATTCGATCATAATTAGGATAAAAGGAAAAAAGTAAGGAATCCTAAACACACACCTAAAAATCTTTGTCAAAATAGTAATTTTGTTCTTCTTATAAAAGTTTTATTTATTATAAATCTCTGAAAAAGTTAGCTGATGTTTGCACACTAACCACTAAGAGACCATTTTTATCTCTCTCTATTTCTGAGATTTGAGAGAGTCTCCTCTCTCTCTCTCTCGCTCTATCGCTCCTCATGATCCGATTTTTATATTTATAAAAAATTTATGTGATAATTACAGATACACGTTATTTGTGTGTATATTGATGGAGACAATAACCATTGGAATCTGACCATGGATCTCTTTTCTTCTTGAGATATTTTTTTTTCTCCTGTTCTCGTCTCCCCCAGATCTGTTCCTCCATTGGAAAGCTTCAAGCTTTTTTATTCTCTCTCTGGGTAATTCTTTAATTCTAAGAAAATTAATTCATATTGAAATTTTTATAGATTGTTATTTTTATTAGTTTTTTTTTTTTTTATCTAAAGTCGAAGCAGTACTATGTTTCTTTGTTCGTCATGAAGTTGATGCTTTTACTTTTC